GTTACTAGACTTTCCATTTCGTTACTGACTTTATTTTAAACAATTTTTAAATCCCTATGTAAACCCATATATAAGTGGAGAAAGAAGTCAGTAATGAAAAAAGAAGTCCAGCAGTAGTCAGAATTTAGGAGCAATCCCAAGCTTAATTGTTTAGATCATGCAAATACCTTTTTAAAAAATATAGGTAAGACTAAAATAGGTACTAGTCCATATAGGACAGGAGACAAGAATTTATATAAGGTTGACATATTATCTTTAAGAATTATAGTTGGAGAAATATGTTTTAAAAAATCTCTTCAACAAAAATCTTACATGAGTGTAACTGTTGTAATTCAAAGTAAATTTCAGGAAAAACTGCCTATCAGATACAATGTGCACAGATTAGGGTGGTGGGTATACTTAAAGCCCAAACTAGAAACTATTTGTACCTCTTAAAACTATTAAAATAAGCCGGGCTCCGTGGCTCAGCCTGTAATCCCGCGCCTTTGGGAGGCTGAGGTGAGTGGATTGCCTGAGCCCGCGGGTTCGAGACCCGCCTGGGCAGTGAGACCTCATCTCTACAATAAATCAAAAATCAGCCGGGCGTGGTAGCGCATGCCTGTAATTCCGGCTACTGGGAAGGCTGAGTCGGAAGGATCGCCGGAGCCCAGCAGGTCGAGGCTGCGGTGGCCGGGAGCGGCCACTGCACTCCAGTCTGGGTGACAGAGTGAGACTCCAACTCAAAAAAAAAAAAAAATAAATAAATAAAAATAAAAAAAAAAAAATACAAAAAAAAAAAAAAAAAAAAAACTATTAAAATAAAAAAAAAATTTCAAAAAAACAACAAAACAAAAATAAAATTCAGGCTGGACGTGGCGGCTCATGCCTGTAAACCCATCACTTTGGGAGGAAGGCGCGGGAGGACTTCTTGAACCCAGGAGCTCAAGACCTAGGCAATACATCAAGACCTTGTCTCTTAAAAAAATAAAAATAAATTTCAACTGGAAAATATTTTAAAATGTTAGTGCTTAGATAATAAATGAAAGCTTTAGTCCCTATAATAAGTATTAAACTGGCTTGTGCATATTTCTATTTGTCATTTTACTACTTCCAAAAAAAAAAGTCATTCAAGAATGTGAAGCAGAAAAAAAGTCATTGGCCTCTGACTGAGGAGATGTTGGGTTTTAGTACTAGTGTTTTTATAGGCACTATACACAAAGCAGAGAGTTAAGAGACAAGAATGAGCTCTAGGACAAACAAATCTGATGAGTCTAATTCTGCCCCATATTAGCTGTGTGCCTTGGAAAAGTGGCCAAGGCTTGCTAACCGTTTATTTTCCCCAACTATGAAATAAAGGTAAAACAAGTAATTTTATGGATATGGACTTGAATAATAGCATAGTTATCATCACTAATGCTACTATTATAACAGTCTGCGCCAGTGAAAGAACACTGGAGTTAGAGTCCAAATTGTAAATCTGAGTCTCACTTGTGCCACTCACTGGTTTTCTACCCTCACACTCCTCCTTTCTGTATCTGTCAAGTGGGGAATAGTATGAGATGATCTATAAGGTCTCTGTTCAGCCACAACATTTTGTGATGGTCATCCAACCGAAAGGGGAAAAAAGACTAGCTAACAAAATTAACATACCCACTTCAGAATCCTCAAATATTTTAAGCAGTTTACGTCATATGATAAATGATGTCTAAAATCTTTAATCTAATATTAAATAGCCTTTCCAAAATAAGTGACTAAGTTGAAAATGGCATGTATGCAATCATTTGTTCATTCACTCACTAAACACTTCTTAGGCACTTTACACTGTGCAAGACATTGGGCATATAAAAATATTTAATAAAGACATGATACCAGCCAGGCTTGGTGGCTCAGCCTGTAATCTCAGCACTTTGGGAGGCTGAAGCAAGTGGATTGCCTGAGCCTGCGGGTTCGGGACCAGCCCAGGCAACTTGGCAAGACCTTGTCTCTACAATAAATCAAAAAAACTAGCCAGGCATGGTAGCACGGTAGCATGCACCTGTAGTTCTGTCTACTTGGAAGGCTGAGGTGGAAGGATCCCTGGAGCCCAGCAGGTTAACCCTGGGGTGGCTGTGAGTGTT